GCTTATCCATGCTAGTCACTAGCCTCTCCAGTGCTAACACCAGCTTATCCATGCTAGTCACTAGCCTCTCCAGTGCTAACACCAGCTAGTCCATGCTAGTCACTAGCCTCTCCAGTGCTAACACCAGCTAGTCCATGCTAGTCACTAGCCTCTCCAGTGCTAACACCAGCTAGTCCATGCTAGTCACTAGCCTCTCCAGTGCTAACACCAGCTTGTCCATGCTAGTCACTAGCCTGTCTGATGCCAACGCCAGCTTATCCATATTAATTGCTAGCCTCTCCGATGCTAACACAAATGAGTAGTCTCCTCATTTACCAGCGCCGGCCTTTCAGTTAGCGGTGCTGTCCTGTCATTAATCAGATCAATAGCTGATTTAGGAATAGATATAGCCTCCTGCTACAAGGATGTAGCAACCACTGGTTGCACAATAGTCTTAATTTTGCTTTCATACCGGGCCATAGAATTTCAGGTTTTTGTGACTTAACTTTGACAGGCAGTWTAAGTTACAGATGTCTAACTGTTTTAAAAGCTGCCCCGTTGAAAGAAATGTTGGTTTTTGCAYCACCTCATTGCTAATCCATGGACATGTTTGTTTGTCTCCAGTGTTCAGTAAATGTTAGGGTGCCTGTAAATAGCTAGTTAGTAAGACAGATTTACTGGTACAGATTTATGGTCTTGGCTGCAGACTGAGACAATCCAGCTGACATCACGGTTGTTATTTTATGTTWTAATATTCCCTTAGAGTCTCGTTATTCTACAATGCTTATTAAAAGTCACCTCATGTTGCTGCAAAAGGATTTGTTTAGAGAGCTCATTGAATTACTACAACGCAGTAAGAAAACCTTTATAAAATTACCTGTTTTCGGATCTATGTCGAAGAAGGTTCTGTGAGATTCCTGCATCTGGAAGGAAAGCTTCCCCAAAGAGGACGTGTCCACGTCTGAGGCAGACACTCGGGTGACAGAGTTGACTTTGTCCACGTTCTCCTGGACTGATGCAAAGTACACCAGCTGGGAAAGCTGCGGGGCGTTGTCGTTGACATCCAGGACCTCCAGGAAGACGTGAGTCCAAGAGATCAGGGGCTCGGTGCCCAAATCGGTGGCGTAAACAGAAAGCCAGTARTGTTGCACCGTCTCTCGGTCCAGCAGTTCTGACGTACGGATCACACCTAACAAACAAAAAAACAAAAAAATTAACTTTACTTACAGTAAGATGCATTAGTTACGTAATTTTATTTAATTTCCTACTTCCAGGTGTGCATGTTTGGTTCATTATTTTGTTTTTTAGTAAAGTAATATATGAGGTTTTTCTGCAACCCATTAGCTTTTGGAGTCAACCTGGCTTCCAAACTTAATTAGCCTTATTTTACAGATAATGAGCKAAAATTTAAAGTGGTAGTAGYTSAGAGTACTACAAATGCTTCCTTTGATCATCAACAAATTGCTCAGCTTAAAGTTCCTGTGATATTAATTTTTTTGCAATAAATATGAATGCATTTTTTGGAAAGACAACATTGATAACATATTGCAAAAATAATTTCACTCTGCTGAGATGAACAGTTGTGGAGATATTTGCATGTGATGAAACAGGAAGTGATGTCAAATGGGAATGTCTGCATGTAAACAAAGCTTTGCTACAACAGCTAACAACACAAATCGTGTTTCCATCCAGTTGTAGTGAATTTTTATCGAACTTTTCAAAATTCGCAAAAAATTAAATAAATAAAAATTCAAATCTAGACTGTTTCCATCTAGTTTCCATCTCAACTGTTTGATGTGAATAAACGAGGCTATACGCAACACGTGATTACGTCAGACGAGACTACGCAACGTGTGATTACGTCAGACGAGGCTACGTAACGCGTGATTACGTCAGACGAGACTACGCAACGCGTGATTATGTCAGACGAGGCTACGTAACGCGTGATTACGTCAGACGAGGCTACGCAACGCGTGATTATGTCAGACGTCGGCAACAAGCTTTGAGGTACTAAATAGGACGTGAAACTTGCTAACTAGCAGAGGCTAATCATCTCGGGACAATGGAGCGATTTTTTCGTGAATGCCTTGCTATTGGGCAAGTTGTAATTATTCTATCTATTCAGCTAGTACAGGCTATGTTTAACGCTGCCAGGAGACGTATAGGGAAATAAAYGCAATGTTAAACTACGCAGCAGAAAGGCACGTGCAACTACGCAGGGCTAACATCCGGGACGAGGCAGGAAAGCGGAAACAGCTGAACGTCACGTGAGGTAAATATGCGCTACGTCAGAATTTGTTCGGCAAACGTGTTTCAATCTCCCGTTGTGCGCATTRACTACTTTGCAAATCATCCAAAAACCACCTCAAGCGAGCGTAAAAACRTTTTAGCGAATTGAGGAATTTTTTTTWAATTTTACTGTTTCCATCCGACTTTATTTTCGCATTTTTAATGTGACACTTCTAAATGCGCATCAAAAAGCCTTGATGGAAACACGGTTACAGACTGTCAAGACCCTGATGTTTCTTTAGATAATTTTGAGTCATTATCAAAGAGATGACGAGTCAGAGTTCAAACATTGTTACAATAAAAAATAAGGGTGTTCCTTTTCTTAAAGCGTTCCCCTTTGATGTCACTTCCGGTTTCATTTTAGCTGAGCCAAATCCTGAAGAAAATCTGCCAGTTGTGTGACAAAATATGTAAAATTRTGTGTAATATGCAAAGTTTCTTAAATATAAAGATGTTTTCTTTGATTTTTTGTATTTGAGAGATGCATGTCAGAGGCACTTTAAGATTTTAAAATGCATTCTAGCAGATTATGCATTCCTTACTTTCATTTTTAATATTGATAACTTTAAYGAAAACAAAAAGTGTGCACCGTGTAACAAAAAAATTACCTGCTGGGTTCCAAAGGTTGAACAAGAAAACTAACAAGTCCCTGCTMAGCAATGTGGGAACAAATCTGTGCTGTGAAAATCCCGCTTACTTTTTACAGCAGCCTATCAAAGGCTGTCGAGGAGGAAAGAAGAGGGTTGTAAACCAAAAAATAATTAAAATTACAATAAAAAAAATTTCAGCTCAYACTTGTCTTTAGAAGCAGTTTAAGTTTAATTCCCCTGAGGGAGAATTCAAAAACCTATAGTGTAGGTAGAGGCTATGTTTCAGCACAGGTTCACCATGATAGAGAGCCGTTTGCTCAGATTTTATCTGAGCCTTAAGTGCAGCAGGCTAATGGAATGCAGGACAGTATGCTGCGGGGTTGCGGGGGGATCCTCCACAAACGTTATACTGATAGAAAAATACCTCAAACCCCACCCAGGGGGAACGTTTTTCATCCTATGAGCATGATGAAATGAGGCTGTTAAAATCCTGARTTTGTTTTTTGTCAAAGCCAGAGAAGAAATCTTTAATTTACTAAACGGTTTTATGAGGTTCTGAACTTTGACTTTGTGGTGAACTGATACTCGTGGATGTGTCCATATTTCACCTCAGAAAAGAGCTGCCACATAAACATCCTCGCTGAAAGCTCCGTTTAGAAACTCMTTTGGGAATTTTGGTTGTGTTCCAAGATCTGTGTCGGGACAAGCAGCGACCTGGAGCTTCACGGCTGGTAAACTACAGCGTAAATTATCACCTGAACCTGGTTTGTAGCTTCTGCATGTTTCCACGTGAGTCATGTTTGAAATCAAAATTTAACAGCTGATCATCAGGATGAATTATTATTAAATGACTGATCAGAAAAACAACAAAAAAAAGATTAATCTTATCTAGTGTCTGTGTAGAACCTCTTCCTGTTTAGTGAAAGAGGTTTCCATAAAAAAGAGTTTTATTCAACAAACATTAAACGTGTTTCTTGAGCTTTAGACAAATAAAAAGTTAAGTTTAAAAATGCAGGTGAGACAATATTGGCTAAATAAGTTTTATTTCTCTAGGATATGATCATTTATATTTAAACCTTGAAGGCTGACTTTGCAACTTTTTAAAACAAAATAAGTAAAGTTGCTTCATATTCTTTCCAGTCTTGGTAAAACAGTACACAGTACACACAGTTAAAGGTACTTAGTACCTTGTTATGTGTTTCTAGTAACCAGAACATGATAAATATTCTAATGACATCATATAAATTATGATGTTCAGGCTCAATTTGGTTATTTAAAAATAGCTTTTACTTTTCAACAAAAAACAAAAAAAAAAAACATTCTTTACCTGTTTCTTCATCAATGGAGAACACTCCAACTCCAGAGCCATCGTTGATGTGGTATCGGACCACTCCATCTCTGCCCACATCCTTGTCCGAAGCTGTTAGAGTCACGACAGATGTCCTGACAGCTGCGTCCTCCATCACTCCGGCCTCGTACACAAACTCTGTGAAAACCGGCCTGTGGAGGTTCTCGTTGACRTCCAAAACCTCGATCTCTACAAAGCAGGATGATGAGAGGGAGCGAGGAAGGCCGTGGTCCACAGCTCTGACTGTGAGGTTGTAGGCCGGCCGTCTCTCGAAGTCCAGCTCGCGCTCAAGGGTCAAAGCTCCAGTGGAGGGGTCCAGATAAAAGATCCCACCCTCTGTGTTCTTGAGGTTGTATGTGACGAGGCCTCCGCTACCCGAGTCCAGGTCTACGCTCTCCACCCAGATGAGCAGCGTTCCCACAGGAACATCCTCTGCAACTTTTATGTGATACACTTTAGGTTCAAATTTAGGTGGGTTGTCATTTACGTCTTGCAAAATCACCAGCAGGTGGGCAATGGAGAACAACTGGGGGTCATGTTTGGCCTGGTCACTTGCTTTGATCCAGAGGTCATGGTGGGGGGAACTTTCTCGATCCAGATGACCCGTCACAATCACCTCCCCAGTCAGCTCGTCGACTCTAAATGCATCTGTGGACGTCAGCAGAGAATATTGCACTTTTCCGTTCATGTCTGCATCTACATCTACGGCTCGAGCTGTGAAAATAACAGCATCCTCCTCTGTGCTTTCAGGCACACGGATGACATATCTGGGCTGGTTAAAAACTGGAGGGTTGTCGTTGACATCGATGACATTAACGGCGATGAATTTCCACGCGGACGTTTGTGGCAACCCCAAGTCGTAAACCGTGATGTTCAGAATGTACAACTCCTTACTCTCTCGGTCCAGASGGCAAACTAAATAAAGCTCCCCAGAAAAAGTGTCAATGGAAAAACAGCCGTCTTCATTCCCACTTGATATGGCAAACACCAGCTTACTGTTAAACCCCGAGTCAGCGTCTGTGGCCTTGAACTGTAGAATGGTGGAATTCAGCGGATGGTTCTCAGCAACATCAATAGACGTGGGAATGCTTGTAACAAATTTGGGGGAGTGTCTGTTGGTAATGTAAATATCTGAGAACGACTCTTCCTCCTGATTAATTAAAACAGGCTTTATTGACTCTATCAGTTTATCAGTCATCTGTTTAAAGATGCCTGTTTCAAAGCAGTGAAGCGTTGCCTCGTCACCTTTGTTYGTAACCGTGACCCTGACGACTGAAGCCTCAGAACGATGTTTACCATCTTCGGCTACAACTCTCAAGGTGAACGAGCCTTCGTGTCGAGGAATTGGCCGTTTGAGACTAATAGCTCCAGTAACAGCGTCAATGATGAAGACTTGGAGCTCGTTTCCTGATTCGATGACATACTGCAGCTGCTGCAGTTCATCTAAGTCGATGGCTGATAGCTCAGCRATCGTGCGTCCCACGGGTAAATCTTGTGGGATGGTGGTGTTGCAGTCCACCCTCTCAAACAGAGGAACGTTATCGTTCATGTTGATAAGAGTAATAGTCACGGGACATTCGCTGACCTGGCTAAAAGGGCTGCCGCTGTCCGAAGCCCAAACTCTCAGGTGATGCCGCCGTTTCATCAACTCATAATCCAAATGTTCGGAGATCGAGATGACGCCTGTGAAAGGATCTATCGTAAAAGGTAAAGGTTCAGAGTTTGCAATTGCATACGTCACAAAACCGTTTTTCCCTTTATCAACATCTGAAGCCACAACTTTAAGCACACTGCTGCCAACAGGAGTGTTTTCAGCCACTGTTTCCTGATAGGACGTCTGTTTGAACTGTGGGCTGTTGTCGTTCTCATCCGTTATCTTGACCACAATATGTGTCTCTGCTTCACCGCGATTGGCTACCACATCAAATTCAAATCGATTTTTTCTCTCATAGTCAAATGTATTTTCCGTTATAATTATTCCTGATTTCGGATTAATCTTGAAATTTGAACTGTCTGAGTTACTTTTGATGCTGAAGGTAACATTATTATGTAAGGAGGTGACAGAGACCCTAACAACATGAGTTTTAGGAGGTGAAAACTCACTCAGGGTGACAATGTAAGTRTCCTCCAAAAATGCCAAAGGGGTGTAATGATCAGCCGGAATGTGGATTTGTGTAATCRGAGAAAGTAAACTTGGCAAACTCCTATCATTAGCTTGAAGGGACAGGTTGAGCCCAGAAGGACTTTGAGACCACACGATCCTTTTAGTAGAGATCACTTGGAAGTCGGTGCCCTGTACACCTAAAGGAATAACCTCAAAACAGTTGTGGGGATCCCCAGCAACAATATTAAGAGAATCCACAGGTTTAACTCCTTCTTCCACATGGACATTAACATCTACACGTCCATCTGAAAACACAGCAGGTTTCAGAGAAGATGTGACAACCGGAGCTCCTTTGGGTATATTTTGAATATTYACTGTGACGCGGGCAGAATTCCCAAATTTCTGAACACCTGATATCTTTTTCGTCCTGTCTTCRGCTAAAATAGTGAGGTCGTATTTCTGCGTCCGGGTATGATTGAGCTGCTTGACGAGGATGACCGTGCCGGTGAAAGGGTCCACRGCAAAAGGGTGAGCTCTGCTGGTGAAGGAGTAGTAAAACTCAGCGTTGCTCCCCACATCCGCATCCGTGGCACTGACTCGGACCACGATCGACTTCAGCGGTGTGTCCTCTCTGAGGTTCACGTTGTATGATGCCGGGTAGAACAGGGGTTTTAGGTCGTTAGTGTCGAGCACGTGGACAAMCACCTTGGTCTTCGCCTGGAAATCAAAAGTGCTTTCTGTTGCCTCTACGGTGAGAGTGTAACKGTCTCTGACCTCCCTGTTAAGAAGAGCCGAGTTACTGCTGCGAGTTTTAATCCTGAGGAAGCAGAAGTCCCCAACGGACAGTGATTCTGCTTGGAAAAACTCGTCCTCGTCCCCCGAAACAATGCTATATTTGATGTCCCACAGTGGATCTGTGAGTCGGACGCCCATCTTAACGAGCGACTCGACGTACATTCGTGGGGCAGAGTTTTCRTTGATGGTGACGTTGTAGAGATGGTGCGTGAAGCTTAGCAAAGAGCCGTCCTTCTCTTTTCCCATTGCACTGTGACACCTCACCAAATGGAGGAGAAATGTGATCAAAACGAGGAGTGTTGATCCTGAAGCTGCCATCTTTAGTACCCCTCAGGCCGACCCTCCAACCTGTGAAGAGAGCAGAAGACAAATGTAGCATGCTTCAAATCAAGAACAAAAGAAGCCTTTGAGGGAAAACAATGGAGGTTTTCACTAATGTCTCTATCAACTTGTACATCTGCAGAAGAACACATAATACACTTGTACTCATAACTAATACCCACACTATTGTGTATACACAGTACACAATCTAACAACACCAGAAGGAGGACCGCGTCTCACTTGTCCCAACTTGTCCCTTAAAAAAACAGTCAAACAAGTAACGCTGTTTCAGAAGCAGCAAATTACCTCGAAGCCATTCCAGCCAGATCCTCCTAATTATTTCTTTTTAGAGCAAAGTCGGGAAAGAAACCATCTTCAAACTTATTACTTTAAGCTCTTACTTTGGCAGAGGCATGAGTAGGGATTTGAACACTGATGACTTGATATCATGCGGATGACAGCAGGTGGCTCAGCCCTGATCTGAAAGCAAACGGTTGTGATGTGTGCTGACTGTCTGTGGCTGTAACTCCTGGGATGAGTCACCAAACCTCTGCATTCACACCAACTCACAGAAACGTGGCCTGGCATGAAATTTGTGCCGAAAGGATTTTTCGCATGATTCAGTGAAATGGCAGTTTGTACTATGTTGTTGTAAAAACAGACAAATGACCTTTGATACAGGTAATAAACCTCGGAGGAAAGGGAATAAAAACTCTAACTCTGGTTTTAAGTTTAGACCAATAATGCTATTTATTAAAAAACACAAGGTATGTTGAGGTAGTTGACTACTTCTTGGGTTTAGATTCTGTTTCAGCTGCATTAATTCAAAATAAAACAATATCATTAAAAACTCATCTTCATCATAACCCATATTGTTGCACTTTGCTGTTCTACAATTGCATCAAAATCATTGGTACAAGTGGTTTGAAATGGGGCTTMACTTCTAGATTGTTTTATCCATGTAAAGTTTGCTTTACAGAGATGATTATTTTCTAAGATTAAGGTTTTTGGCATGTTKGACAACCCTAAAATTTCTTTTATTGTCAGTGTTTTGTCTCATTATTTAGATTTCCATATTAAAGGACATGGTATGCAAGTGATCTATTGTTTTAATCTTCAGTTTTGGGACATATCCTTGCTTATAAATCCTTCAGTTTAACATTTAAATCATTCAGTTGGCGTCTATTTAAAGTGGAATTACAACATTTTGGACTGGATTCCTGCTTATTGTAGCTCCACAAGCCCATCTTTCAGCCCTGTTCTGAGGTTTGTCTCAGATCAGTGTTGTATAAAGTACCTCAAAGTGATACTTGAGTAAAAGTACAAGTATCTGATYGTGAAATTGCTTTGGTAAAAGTTAGTCTCCTCTAAGAATATTACTTGAGTAAAAGTCTTAAAGGATCTGTTTTTTATGTACTTAAGCATCAAAAGTAAAATTCTGACATAAAAAGTACTTAAGTATTATAACATATTGAGTAAAAATGAGCATTTGGATTTTCCAAAATTACATTTATTGAGAGATTACCTCCAAAAAATGTTTTTTTTTCTAAAGGTGTGATAGGTTGTGTACAATCCAATGCTGTGTCAGAATGATATATATTTATACTTCGTAAACTTCTTCTTCTACAATTAAATTCACTCTATCCAGGAGGCACAATATATCAGGATAACATTATTTTTAACAATAACAATTCAGAATGAAATTGGAGGAACGACTGTCTTCCAGTGATGGACTTACGACCTGTCCAGGGTGCACCCCGCCCCTCGCACAGTGACCCCTGTGACCCTGAAAGGAAGAAGCATGTTTAGATAATGGATGGATGAATATACTTGTGGGGACTTATGGAGACCTAAGCCTAGGACAAATGTGTGAATTGAGTTTAGGTTAGNGTGATAGGTTGTGTACAATCCAATGCTGTGTCAGAATGATATATATTTATACTTCGTAAACGTCTTCTTCTACTATTAAATTCACTCTATCCAGGAGGCACAATATATCAAGATAGCATTATTATTATTTTTTTTTTTCCTTTGGATGAGATAGCATTGAAGATAGCATTATTTTTAACAATAACAATTCAGAATGAAATTGGAGGAATGACTGTCTTCCAGTGATGGACTTACGACCTGTCCAGTGTGCACCCCGCCCCTCGCACAGTGACCCCTGTGACCCTGAAAGGAAGAAGCATGTTTAGATAATGGATGGATGTACTTTCTACTTCTTACGTTTTTAAAAAATGCAAGGAGTAGAAGTAAAAATGATGCTAAAAATAATTTCTCAAGTAAAGTACAGATAACCAAAATTTCTACTCAAGTACAGTAACAAAGTATTTGTACTTAGTTACTTCACAACTCTATCTTAGATCAACTCGTTTTGGTGCTGTCTCTGTAAATGCAAATAAGGCGATTCACACTCCGCCCCCTCCAAGTCCCAGTGATTATTATCCACTCCACCCTGTTTGGTTATTTTTGCATTCTGATAGCATCTAAAGCAAAGAAACTTTTAAATTTATAAATTAATTAAAATTATGTCAACACGCAAAGACTTGTCCATCCAGCCGTACATGTTGGACCAGAACCAGAGGAGAATGAAGACAGCAAACCTGTAGAACCACAAATTTACTAAATTAGCTAGCTAGAAGTCCAAGAYAGTTAAGCAGCTCTGCAGCAAACACTGTGATGTTGAAAGGAATTTATTAGTTAGAAACTGATTTAGAAGCACCACACTATATTCATAGTTTTCCTTTTTAAGTATTGATTCTATAATCTATTGATTGACAATTGTTATGTCTTGATTAAAATAGCGTTAGCTACATGCCTGAAACAAAATCACAACACATAATAATAACCGTTGACACATACAGGAAAGGTTTTTTTTTGTCTGAGTGTTTGCAATTCAGCCGTAGGCCAGTAGTGGGCGCAGCAGGCACTGAAGACACTGTATAAGAGGACCGGAAGTTCCAGTTTCAGGCAGCGCAGCTTGGCTTCTCCAGTYGGGAGCAATAAAGCTTCACTCGTAACCAGATCTGAGTTGTATGGTCTAATCTCTTCACACTTTAAATTATTCAATATTTATATGGTTTTCGTCTCGATTTCAGTTAATGAACACTGAACTTATCTTACAACGTCCATCCATCCATCCCTTTTCTTCCGCCTATCCTGAGTCGGGTCGCGGGGGCAGCAGCTTCAGAAGGGAGGCCCAGACC